CCTGTAATATTGTATCAGATATACGAAACGCTGGGTGGAGCGGTGGCAGCAGTTGTCAGAGCAATGCGCTATAGGAACACGGCTGCCGTGAACGGGAATCGAATTCAGGTGTCAGGGTTCGTTGCGCAGTGGTCAGCTCCCTGCGCCACCGCTCCCCAAGGGAAGGGTTCACGCTTGAGAGGGGCCATCCCATCGCGGAGATGGAGCTGTGAAATCGGCTCGCGATACTGTTGAGTGACGGCCATGCCTTCTGGAGGAGGGCTCCGTCCAGCAGTGTATAGATCATGGCTGATGTAGATCCCTCTTGCGGCGAGCACCTATTAGCTGCGGCACTGCAAGCAGTGGAAATGTTATAGCCACAACACCCGCTATGCTTCTGTGAAGTTCAAAGACAAAGATCCCCCGCATAGCCTTTAACGGACAGTTGGGGCAAGTGCTGTGAGCGAGCACCTATGAAGGCCGGCACGGTGCACGAGGAGGTGGGTGGCCAACATCACTCCCGAGCGCTTTTGTCTCCCCAGTGGCGATGTTTTGACTCACCGCACCGGGTAATCATTTGAGGCTGTGCCGAGCCAAGGACCGGTTCAGATAATCGCCACTGGTGTTGGCCGTGAGCGGGAATTGAACTTGGGCCGCCTGGTTCGTAGCGCAGTGCTCAAACCACTGCACTACCACCACTCCCCCTGTGAAGTTCACACACACACACATTTGCACCGCTCCAAGGACGTATTTTAAGGCCGAGTGGACCTACGGGAGATCCAAAACAGACTCAGGAACCACTCGCCACTGATGTTAACCATGGCCAGGGGTACGATCCCAGATCGCCGGCTTGCAGCGCAGGGTGCGAATCACTGCGCCACCGCTCCCCCGTAGACACAACAGCGACACGGATCCCAAACACTTGAGCCGTACGGACTGCGCTCTCGGCGCTGTCAGCGATCACAATGGGGTGGTCTGGCCAGCACCATAGACACACTTCTACAAACATTACAAACCACGTGCTCCACACGACTAGGGTACACGTATATAAGTACACAGACATACAATCCCCATGCATTGCCTGAACATACTTTCGGAGCTATTGATGCTAGCGAGTAGCACCTTGTAAAGGCCGGCACGGCACACGAGGGAGTGGCTGGCCAGCGCCTTTGTCTCCCCAGTGGCGATATTTACACACCGCACCAGGTACTCGTTTGAGGCTGAGTCGACCTAGGGGAGGCCCTGGACCGGTTCAAATAATCGCCACTGAGGTTGGCCGTGAGCGGGAATCGAACTTGGGTCGCCGGGTTCGTAGCTCCGCGCGATAAGCCTCGTGCCATGGCACCCACCAGGCGCTCAGTCACTCACTCATACATCGATTATACAAAGGCACAAATATCCTACGTAAAGCCCTACAGGACTGTTCAACAAGTGCTGTTAGCGAGCACCTATTAAGGACGGCTACGGCGCAACAGCACATGAAGCAGAGGCAGAGTGTGGACAGCACCACCCACGCCCGGCCGCCTTTGTATCTCCCGCGAACACACACACACATCGTACACACACCCGAACTTCCTATCTCTATCGAGTCGTTAGCAGCCTTGCTCGATCCACTGTTGGATGAAGGCCTCCCCCGTTCACGATCCTACGGTGCAATTACTCCACCCGCGCGTCACTTCACCGCACCAATCTCTTTCCGTGCAATGTCACATCACCCCGCATTGACCGGTGTGGTGAAGTATGGTGAACCTCCCCCCCCCCCCCATGATCGACGCACTTCCCTACGTGACATCCGAGTCTATTGCGCACAAGCATGGCCCATTCACTCGCACAATGCACCTCGACTCACTCTCCCACTCGCCACTCACTCACTCCCACACTCATTCACACACTCACTCACTCACAAACTCACTTACACACTCACCGACTCACTCACACACTCACTCACACATTCACTCACACACCCACTCACACATTCACTCACACACTCACACTCACTCACTTACTCACACTCACTCACTCACACACTCACTCACACACTCACTCATTCACACACTCACTCATTCACACACTCACTCACTCACACACTTGCCCACTCGCCACTCACTCACACACTCCCTGACTCACACACTCACTCACTTACACACTCACTCACACACTCACTCACTCACAAACTCACTTACTCACACACTCACTCACACACTCACTCACTCACAGACTCACAAACACATTCACTCACACACTAAACACATTCACACATTCACTCACATACTCACTCACTCACACACTCACCCGTCAACCCACTGACTCGCCCGTGATGTCACGACAATCCACACGTGCTAGACAAAGATACATATCCCCCGTATAGCCTGAACACACTGTTGGGGTAAGTGATGCCAGCGAGCACCCATGAAGGCCGACACGGCAGACGAGGGGGTGGGTGGTCAGCACCACGCCCGGCCGCCTTTGTCTCTTCGGAGTGGCGATGTTTACAGGTTCAGATGACCCTCACTCGTGTTGGCCGTGAGCGGGAATCGATCTGTGGTCGCCAGGTTCATCGCGCTAACCGCTACACCATCGCTGGTGTTATACAGCACTGCACTCACTCACCCACCCACCCACTCACCCACCCACCCACTCACCCACCCACCCACTCACCCACCCACTCTCACCCCACACAACCAACCAATCACATATCCCATTCATTCACAGTATACGCGACCTGCACTCACTCACTCAACCACAAACCGACCCATAAATTCATCCGTAACGGCGGTCCGCACAATATACACCACTGCACTCACCCACCCACTGACCCACCCATCCACTGACCCACCCATCCATCCACAGACTCACCCGTCCCGCCGATCCACCAGTCCCAATGCAGGGGAGGGAGATTCGATGTGGATACGGAGCGAGCGTGGACGGCAGGGAGGGAGCGAGTGGAGGGGTGGGAGGGTGGGTGGAGTGATGTGTGGATGTGTGCGTGGGTGGGTGCAGGAGAGTGTAACGTGGGTGGGTGGATGCGTGTGTGTAGCTGTGATTTGTGGATCGCTGTGGTGAGTGGGTGGTTGGGTGACTGTCTGCGAGGTTTGGATGACTGGCTGCAGTGGTGTAGAGCGTTCGTGTATTTCTCTGACGGGTGAGTTTGTGGGTGAGTGAGTCAGTGAGTGCAGCGGTAAGCGCGCTGCACTACGATGAGTACCCGGTGCGGTGTGGAAACATCGCCACTGGGGAGACAAAGGCGGCCGGGAGTGGTGTTGGTCACCCACCCCCTCGTGTGTTGTGCCGACCTTCATAGGCGGTCGCTAACAGCACTTGCCCCAACCGCATGTTAAGGCTATACGGGGGATTTTTGTCTTGCAGTGGTGTACAATGTGAATGGGCAGTGGTGGTCGTGGTTGAGTGTTTGGGTGAGTGGGTGAGTGGGTGGGTGGGTGAGTGAGTGAGTGGGTGGGTGAGTAAGTGAGTGGGTAAGTGAGTGGGTGGGTGAGTGAGTGGGTGGGTGGGTGAGTGAGTGAGTGAGTGGGTGAGTGGGTGGGTGAGTGGGTGGGTGAGTGGGTGGGTGAGTGAGTGGGTGTGTAACTGAGTGGTTGGGTGAGTGAGTGAGTAGTTGAGTGGGTGAGTGAGCGAGTGGGTGGGTGAGTGGGTGGGTAGGTGAGTTGGTGTGTGAGTGGGTGAGTGAGTTAGTGGGTGAGCGAGTGAGTGAGTGGGTGAGTGAGTGAGTGGGTGGGTGGGTGAATGAGTGAGTGAGTGGGTGGGTGAGTGAGGGAGTGAGTGGGTGAGTGGGTGGGTGAGTGGATGGGTGAGTGAGTGGGTGTGTAAATGAGTGGTTGGGTGAGTGAGTGGGCGAGTGAGTGAGTGGTTGAGTGGGTGAGTGACCGAGTGGGTGGGTAAGTGGGTGGGTAGGTGTGTGACGAGTTGGGAGCATATTGTGCGTTTGCTGGGCGTGTTAACGGGAGGTTATTGAGTTGGCGCAGTGGTGTACATGTGATGAGAATGAATGGGTGGCCTGGGGTCGATGGTGAGATAGAAACAGCCACAGAGAATGACAACGTGGATAACTTACTGTGACGGGTGCGTTTCGTGGGCGAGTGGGGTAGGTGAGTGGACATCTTGTGAAAAAGAGCTTGATAGCTCATCGGATTTCTCCAGTCTTCATAAAGATTCTAATTCTGAGTGGGGTTTTGTTGTCCATGGGTAGTTGGGTGCGTGGTTGAGTGGTCCGTTGGTTGGTAGCAGTGGTAAAGAGCACGTGGTATTTTGCTGGATGTATGTTGAACTTCTTTCGCGCCGTACGTAGCCAACCGTGTTAATCGGAGGTGCTGTAACCCTTCTAATGGGAGTTGCTGTATGTAACGTGTGGCCTGGTGGCGTGGTGCATTGTAATTATTATTATTCGGGAGGGCGGCGGGGGGCAGAGGGGGTGTCTGGTTGATTTATCGCTGACCATGACGTTTCTCTGGGTGCACATGCGCCCCGCGACTCATCATCATCATCAGTGCCGTGGATGGCAAACCCCAACAAGACAACAACACAAACAGCAGCACCCTCCACAAAGTCACTGCACAAATATCTCCCACCCCCTCCGCCCCGTGTAGCCTCAACAAACCCCTGGGGCAAGGTGTTGTGAGCGAGCAGCACCTATGAAGGCCGGCACGGCATACGGGCGGAGCGGGGGGGGGGGGGGTTAGCCAGCATCACGCCCGGCCGCCTTTGTCTCCCCGGTGCTGATGTTTAATCGCACGCACACACACGCGGAGCGGGTGGAACTGCGACTTTACAACGGGAGGGGTGGGGGCGGTGCTGTAGAGGAGGAGGCAGGGAGGTAGGCGGAGCAGGAGGAGGAAGAGGAGGAGGAGCTTTATCGACCGTGACCAATTTTCGTGCAGGGAATAGGCAAACCGGGCGTGGTTTAGTGAGTGGCTTGAGTGGGTTGAGTGGGTTGGGTGGGCTGAGTGGGTTGGGAGGGTGACACGGCTACACGTGATTCGACGCGCAACGCCTTCTCGGTATAAATTCCCACGACGGATTCTCGTCCACTTTCCCCCCCACCCCCAGCCTCGGCACAAGTTCTAGGCAGCGATCCGCGGACGCCTGCTAGCGCGTGCGCGCGCGTGCGTGTGTGTACACGTGGTGACAGCTGGCAGCGTGACATCAACTATTGGCGAAACTTGTCGTGCCACCTATTACAGCTATTGACGTTGCTGCTGCTGCTGCTACACAAACTTCACACGAGAGCAGTTCGATGAAGATTCCTTAACAACATAATCGTCGTCAGCAGAAAGTCCTGCGTTCAGAAGACAAGTCTGTTGTTGTTGTTTGCAAGCTCACGTTTGTGTCGTTGCGAAGAAACTTTGTTGTTATTACACGTTTTGATCCAAGTCGCTGGACGAATACACGGAACGCTCTATGGATTATTTTGAAAGCGCCGCATCGTGCGCAGCTGCCTTTGGCTCCGTTGTAGTCGGCCGAGGAGGGATGCGCGCGAAATGAGAAGAACAGAATTCAGCTGAGCGTCGGAGAGGAGGCGAGAGTCGGAACGCGGAATCAATTTCCGTCGCACTAAACTTATCACAACAACAACAAGGACAGCAGCGGCAACAGCAGCGGGGTCAGCAGCAGCAGCGACAACGTCGAGACAATCAGTCAACTCGCTCGCGCGAAACAACGAGGCGACGTCTCGTCAACAACCAGAATCGCTGCGACTCCCGTTGACAGAGAGAGAGAGAGAGGTCGAGGAGGGTCCGTTCCTTACTCAAGAGACTACACGAGCTGGGGATAACCACGGTTCCAGTCAACCACCGTTCCAGTCAACCACGGTTCCACTCAGCCACGGTTCCAGTCAACCACCGTTCCAGTCAACCACGGTTCCAGTCCAACCACGGTTCCAGTCCAACCACCGTTCCAGTCAACCACGGTTCCAGTCCAACCACGGTTCCACTCAGCCACGGTTCCAGTCAACCACCGTTCCAGTCAACCACGGTTCCAGTCAACCACCGTTCCAGTCCAACCACGGTTCCAGTCAACCACGGTTCCACTCAGCCACGGTTCCAGTCAGCCACGGTTCCAGTCAACACCGACCAGGCGATAAAGACACCACAGCAACCTGCAACTACCAACAAGTCCGTCCGCCCCCCCCGCTACCCCCCCTCCAAGACAACAGAGCGCCCCCCCCCGACTTCCCCGAACTCAGGGGGAGGGGGCGGGGGCGGTGGGGTGGGGGTTGGGGGGGGAGGGCTGGCTGAGAGTCGGAGGCGATCGCGTTCACGAGAATGACTCTTGGCGCAGAGCTACTCGGACGAGGAGTCTGCATGCAGTCAGACGAGGACTTTGTTGACGTTGTTGGCGAAGATGGCGGTGGCGGTGTAAGTGGCAGTGGCGGCGGTGGTGGTGGCGGCATGGACAGACGAGGTGCAGCAGGAGGAGGAGGAGCGACAGTCGTAGTAGGAGGAGCGGGAGGAAGGAGACACGAAGTCGGCCGAACGCGAAGACTTTTCGGCTCCGATCGCGATGACATCGAGGACGTCATCGACGACTTGGACGAAGACGCCGACGAAGACGATGACGACGACTTGGACGAAGACGTCGGCTGCTCGAACAGCGACGCAGACAACGCGCGACACCGCGGCCAGAACCGCGGCCTCGACATCCTGGACGGCGTCAATTGTGACGACGACGACGACGATGATGATGATGATGATGACGAGGAGGAGGAGGATGGCAGAGCCGGAAGAGATGAAGAGGACGAGGAGCGTTTGCGCCGAGACTCCTCCTCGGTGGGGGCGGTAGCGGCGGACGACGACCAGCACGGCGCTCACGGCAACGCGACCTCGTGCATCAAGGCCACCACCACCTCGTCGTCGTCCTCCTCCTCCAAGGGCGCCCTCGTCAAGCCGCCCTACTCGTACATCGCGCTCATCACCATGGCCATCCTGCAGAGCCCCAAGAAGCGCCTCACGCTCAGCGAGATCTGCGACTTCATCAGCAACCGCTTCCCCTACTACCGCGAGAAGTTCCCCGCGTGGCAGAACTCGATCCGACACAATTTGTCGCTCAACGACTGCTTCGTGAAGATCCCGCGCGAGCCGGGCAACCCGGGCAAGGGCAACTACTGGACCCTCGACCCGGAGTCGGCCGACATGTTCGACAACGGCTCCTTCCTGCGGCGACGCAAGCGCTTCAAGAGGCAGCAGCTCATGCAGGCGTCGTCCGTCGAATTCCTCAAGGAGCAGGCGGCCGCGGCGGCAGCGGCAGCGGCGGCCGCGGCGTTTCTACCCGGGTTCACCTACGCACCTTACTCGGGATTCAACTACGGATTGCAGCCCTTGCACGGATTTCCGTCCATACATCACCATCACCAACAGCAGCAGCAGCATCATCATCATCAGCAGCAGCATCACCATCACCACAACAATCATCATCACCATCATCACCAACTACCGCACGCGCATCATTTGCAACAGCAGCAGCAGCAACAGCAGCAGCATCATCACCATCACCACCTACCGACGGCGTTGAGTCCGCACCCGTGTTCCGGACCTACCTACACGTTTTCTGCAGCAGCAGCAGCGGCGGCAGCGGCTGCCACGTTCCAATATCAGCAGCAGCAGCAGCCTACGTCAGTGCAGGGCGCTTCGCTGCTCCAGCCGCCTCCGCCTCCGCTCATGCAGGGCGCCTCCTCCTGCGGCGGAGGTCTGCAGCCGAAGAAGAGCGGCGCGGTGTTCGCGTCGCAGCAGCTGAGTCCGCTGGGGCTGCCGCACGGACTAGCGGCGCTCAAGACTGAGTCGGGACCGGCAAAGACATCTTTCTCTATTGATAACATCATTGGCGTCAGTGGTGGTGGTGGTGGTGGAGGTAATGTTCAACCGATACAGCAGCAGCAGCAATGCGTGTTCCCGTTTCTGTTGAGTGAATGAGCGTGGGCAGGAAACTTGCTCTGGAACCACTAGCGTGTGTGGGGGCTACGCGCGTGTGTGGTCGCGCGCGCGCGTGTGTATGTGTGTGTATGTGGGTGGTTGGCTCTACGGGGGGACTTTGTCTGTGTACGTGTGGCTATGTGTGTGTGTGTATGCGTGTGGGGAGCGATAGTGTAGCGGTTAGCGCGCTGCGCTATGAACCTGGCGACCCGGGTTCGATTCCCGCTCACGGCCAACACCAGTGACGATTGTCTGAACCGGTCCCGGGTCTCCCCTAGGTCGACTCAGCCTCAAATGAGTGCCTGGTGCGGTGTAGTAAACATTGCCACTAGGGAGACAAAGGCGTTCGGGCGTGGTGCTGGCCACCCACTCCCTCGTGTGCCGTGCCGGCCTTCATAGGTGCTCGCTAACAGCACTCACTCCAGTTAAAGGCTCTAAGGGAGATCTTTGTATTTGTGTGTGTATAGATGCGTGGGGAGCGGTGGTTGTAGTCGTTAGCGCACTGCGATACGAGCGCCAGCTTACCCGAGTCCAATCAAATCCCGCTCACCGCCAATATTGGTGGGGAAAAAAAATATCTTAACCGGTCCTGAGCCGCCTCTAGGTCAACTCGGCCTTAAAACAATAGAGTAGCTTTTTGCGGTGCGTAAACATTTAGCTCTGGGAGGATAAAAGTGGCTCGGCGTGGTGCTGGTCACCCACCCCCTCGTGTACCGTGCCGGCCTTCATAGGTGCTCGCTAACAGCACTTGCGTCAACAGTCTGCGGTCAGCTACACAGGAGATCTCTGTTTTGTGTACGTGCGTATGCGTGTGGTCATGTGCGTGTGTGCGTTCACTCCTTGCCTGTGTGTGGTCGTGGCGAGCGGGGGTGTAGCGGTTAGCGCCCTGCGCTACGAAACCGGCAACCCGAGTTCGATTCAACGCTCACGGCCAACACCAGTGGCGATTATCTGTAACCGGTCCTGGGCCTCCCCTAGGTCGACTCAGCCTCAAATGAGTACCCGATGCGATGTGTGAGCAGCGCCACTGAGGAGACAAAGGCGGTCGGGCGTGTGCCGTGCCGCCCTTCATAGGCGTTTGCGAACACCACTTGCCCCAATAGTTTGTCAAGGCTATACGGGGGATCTTTGTCTTTGTGTGTTCAAGCGTTCATGCAGGCAAGTGTTTTAACGCTTGTGTGTGTGGTCATGTGTGTGGCATTGTGTGTGTTCAATCCTTAATGTAAGCTTGCCTAACACTTCACGCATATCTGTGTAGTGTATGAATGTGCGTATGCATGCGTGTGTATGTACGCTGACACACACTTCATGTGTGTGTAGTGGGGAGCGGTAGTGTAGCGGTTAGCGCGCTGCGCTACGAACCTGGCGAACCGGGTTCGATTCCCGCTCACGGCCAACACCAGTGACGATTATCTGAACCGGTCCTGGGCCTCCCCTAAGTCGACTCAGCCTCAAATGAGTACCTGGTGCCGTGCGTAAACATCGCCACTGGGGAGACAAAGACGGTCGGGCATGGTGCTGGCCACCCACCCCCTCGTGTACCGTGCCGGCCTTTATAGGTGCTCGCTAACAGCACTTGCCCCAACAGTCATTTAAGGCTATACGGGGGATCTTTGTTTAAAATGTGTGTATGTGCGTGTGTCTGTCAAAGGCTGTATGGGACATCTTTGTATGTGTTTATGTACGGATTCAAACCTTTTTGTGTGGATGACTATGCGTATGTTTCACGTGCTCATTTATGCCAGTTTGCTCGTAACACTGGCCTACACAGAACATCGTCAGCCACGTTCAATCGACGGTGTGTGTGTGTGCATGCGTGATCATATATGTGTGCCTTGTGTGTAAGCTCTGTGTATGTGTATTCAATACTTGTCGTCTGTGCTATGCAAACGCATAAGCAAGCCGGGCTATACGCATTTAGAACTCGCGTCCTGTGTGAATTCTAAGCGATGTTTTGTACTCCGTCTGCACGGGTGAATGTATTAAAGGGTTGTATGCAGGCTATGAATGCGTTCTGAAGTAAGTTAAGCTGTACGTGTTGAAACTGTGTGTGTGTTCAATAGGATTCACAGCACGTGCGCGTGTGCGTGAATGTATATGTTACGATCAACGTCAATTGCAGCACGCACTTAGTGTGTTATTATTTGAACATCACGTGCCCACCAAGTTATGATGGGTAAATTAATATCCATTTTTAAAAAAAATCAGAATGTAATTTGTAAAAAAAAAACATAAATCTGTGTTTTGACGTAAGAATAGCCTCAACTATATTAGTGTCAAATGCTCAGCCCTCTAGACCTTCGAGAACACCATCAGAACCTACTCTCGGCTATGCTGCACTCTGCGTACGCGTGCATCAACATTGATTGTGTTCACACAATTCTCGTGCATCTGTGCGCTTACAAAGAAGTAGCCCGCTGTGCACATGCATGCACAAAGCGTCACCCGTGCGTGCACGTTAGTTACATATCTGCGTCGCATGTATGTGAATTCACACATGCGCTCTGCTTGATGTGCACGCTCGTATGCAGTGTGTGTCTGTGTGCGTCTATTCAAAGCCAACGGCGAGCTGTGGTGTTAGCGGTTAGCGCGCCGCGCTGCTAAGCTGGCGTCCCGAGTTCAATTTAAGCTCACGGCCAACACCCAGTGACGATTTTATGAACCGGTCCTGGGCCTCCCCTAGGTCGACTGAACCTTAAATGAGCACCTGGTGCGGTGTGTAAACATCTCAACTTCGGTAGACAAGGGAGGCCGGACGTGTGCCGTGCCGGCCTTCATAGGTGCTGCTCGCTAACAGCTCTTGCCCCAAGAGTCTGTTAGGGCTATACGGGTGATCTTTGTCTTTGTCTCGTATTGAACACCTTCAGCAACTTTATGTGTGTATGTACGTGTAAGAACGGAGTAAGACTTGCGATATGTATTCATGTGTTCGTTACTTGAGGTACAGCCAGCATATCCCTTGCATGTTGTTCTATTTCTGTAAAACGTAATTGCTCAATCCTTCCGTACGGTATCTGTATATATGTATACAGTTGGGGTGTATGTATACGTATGCATGTATACACGTGGGGTGTGTAGATGTATCTGTATGTATCTGTGTGCATGTATACACGTGGGTGGAGTGGTAGCGTAGTGGTTATCGCGTTGTTCACCGGACTCCTCAAACGCATTGGCCATTAACACTGCGTGTATGCATGTGTCCCTTATATGGAAAACAAATTCTAATAGGCGACGTTTCGGGCAATTGTCCTTTTTCATAGAACATCAATACACGCCTTTATTGGCGCGGCACGTAGAACGGCCGTCGTCCGAGACGCCGCGTGTGCTGCCTGTTACTACCAGCGAAACGTCGGACTTCCCGATTGCGAAACGTGTGCGAATCGCTCTCCCAACATCACAGCGGCGGCGGTGCTGCTGAAGCGGTAATACCCTGGCGCGTTTTATTAATCACGTGGCAACTTTATGAGTGTAAGTACACAAAGATCATCCGTGTAGCCCTTAACATGCTGTTGGGGCAAGTTCTGTGAGCGAGCACACATGAAGGCATTTGACTCCCCAGTGGCGATGTTTACACACGGCACCAGGTTCTAATTTGAGGCTGACTCGACCTACGGGAGGCCCAGGACCGGTTCAGATAATCGTCACTGGTTTTGGCCGTGAGTGGGAATCGAACTCGGATCGCCGATGTATAGCGCAGCCCCGCTAATCGCTGCACTACCGCTTGTACATCCATACACTCAGGGCGACTCAGCCATAAATGGGAACCTTGGTGGGCATACGCAAGTCTGTTGTAGACTTGCGTATTCACAATATTATATTCGTGTGTATTCGCTTAGTTGCAAGTGCACGTAGCGTGTATGGGCGTGTTGTGTTCATGTAGCTACATCGAGACCCACGGCGATACATAGAGACTCACAACGACACGTAGAGATACATTAAATAGAAGCCACACAAGTGTGATTGTGGTAATGTAACCCAAACTATCGACCAAATAGTAAACCCATCAAGACCCATAGAGATATACGTAGCGACACAGAAACCCACAGCGATACCTAGACAAACGTCGAAATGTATTTCTAAAGACAAGCCACATGAGTGCGATTGCGGTCATGCAACCCGAACCATCGACCATATAGTAAACCCATCGAGATGCAGAGAGACGCGGACCCACAGCGATACCTATAGAGACCCATAGCGGCACATAGAGACACGTCACATTCAAGGTGGCGATTCTGGATTGGCGCTAGCGTGAAGCTCCGATGACAATATCCTACAAACAACAACAACAACAGTCAATAATCATTCTACTTGACTCCCGCAGCCTCCTTTACAATTGGCCGACGACGTCCCGAGAGAGGCAATGAAAGTCAGTTGAGAGTTTTAACCCCCACTACCATGATGTACAACGACGATGTTGCGGTGGCATTGCAGCGTATTGTGTACCACGTGTTGCATGTGTGTGTGTGTTGCGTGTGTGTGTTGCGTGTGTGTGTGTGTGTTGCATGTGTGTGTGTGTTGCATGTGTGTGTGGTGTGGTGCTGGCCACCCACCCCCATCGCGTACCGGCCTGCATGGAAAATCGCTAACAGCACTTGCCCTAACAGTCTGTTAAGGTCACACGGGGGACCTTTGTCTTTGTTGCGTGTGTGTATCTGTATTGCGTGTTTGTGTGTGTGTGTTTGCGTGTGCCTCAAGGTGCACCTAGCCTGGCACAAGCGCCGTGGTGACGTTACCGCCACTTCGTGTTGTTTGTTGTTGTGTACACCAATACAGTGTGTTGGTGTTAGCTGCTCGCTGACAGCACTTGCCCCGACAGTCTGTACGAATGGAAAGTACACACATCGTGTGCTTTACATTTTGTATGTACAATGTAGCATGTATGTACTTAAGCATGTATGATATGAAGTGTAGCATGTACATATACGGATGTACTATACCATGCGGATACGTATGTGTCTATATACGTATGTGTAAACGTATATAATGTATCGTGTATTTGTAAAGTATACCGTATGCGTGCAATATATGAGTGTGCATGTACGATGTAGTACGTTATACGTACAATGTAGAGATGATAATGGGATCACGCTCACCAGAGTTGAAATTATTTTAAATTATTGAATAATAATAATAACGTCCTATTCCTTTGCCAATCCACTGCTGGATGAAGGTCATGGCAGTTGTTTGACCATACTTCACCACGCTGG